AACTTATTGTTCCTGACCCTCTTATTTGTGATAGAGAAGTTGGCTTTAAGTGTTCTTAGTTCAAGTTTTGTTACTGTCATTCTGATTCGGCATTTAGCATAAATATATCGCATTTTTTCACTCTGACAACTTCAGTCAAAACCAGCTCCATCGTAACTTGGGAGGGTTGGCTTGCTATATAACAGTATGATGCATCAGTACTGAAGCCAACCTTAGCGGCGGATTAAAGCTCCATTCACTTATGGCACTTCATATGTCAATTAACACTCATAAAAGGAGTGATGCAAGAAATTCACCCTTCCTTTACTCTGATTATGCACCGCGTTGCTATTCTTCGAATATTTGCCTAAATGAATGATTACCCTTACTCTTCATAAGTGATTGTCAGCTTTGCACGGTGGAACGTTGTCTAATCTCAATGGGACGCTTGTCCAGTACCGAAGTGGAATTTAGCATTATTTGTATTCTGAATTTATTCCAACTGCTGCAAGCGATCCATCTATTCGCTGGCCCTTTGATGAAAGTTATTGTTATAAAGCGTGACAACTAGGTTTAGATGACCGCGGGGAGTCTTTTAGTATGTAAAAGCAACCCCATATTTTCTAAAATAAAGAATAAATTACTATCTCTACAGCAAAGTGGTTGGCGGAAAATTTTTTGGCTCACTGCAGCGACACTGTAGGCACCTGCCAATTCATTTTCCTATTTTATCAGCTCCTCTGTGAAAATCAAACAAATCTTCTATGGGATTCGTACTTGCTTTGTTTTGTGCCATGCGACTATCGATCTTCAATTCGTTTTATTTTCAATCCCTTTTTCGGTTTCATGTCTGATCGCTACCAGAGGCCTTGGGATAGCTCACGTAGGTTATCAATCGTCACTACTATCAATAGTCTTAAGGTAACCGCTTCTCATCTGTTCTCAGTCTGATAAACCTTTAGATTTCTCTTCTGATGGGATTTCAAAATTGCTGTTGCAACCCCTTAAAATCGGCTGAAACGCAAAAATAATGGATGCGTACAACTTATGACAATTTTCATACCCCTTTATTGCTTTAAAATGGATTTTTCGAAGTAAATACTGCAAAGCACAATTTTTCTGACTCTAAGTGTTCAATACCGTGGCAAATGGTACTTATTATCGTTTTATTTATTCTTTGCTTCCCTGGGACTGTCGCTGCAGATCACTACTTCCGTCGTTCTCTTACTGCGTTTAGCAAGTTACCGGATTGGTACAAGTCAGCTCTGTTCAATGAACTCTATTTCATCTCGGATGGTGGGACTGTGTGGCTGGATCCTCTGTCGCACGACAGTAATGTCAACGAAGAACCGCCCATTGACACGGTGCGCAAGCTCAATCCATACGTCGTAGTGGATCCTCTCAATCTCACTGGTCGGAGCGCCAGCAAGTCGCTCTCCAGCGCCGACACTAGTGGCCACGTCTCACCCTTTCAAGCCCGTACTGCTCACGGCCTCGAGATGGGCCTCTTCGCCTACCTCGAAGGTCGGTTTACTGGGTCCCCTTGCCATGAGACTCCTCAGTTTTATCGTTTCTTACATTGGTTTCTTAATGAAGCTAGAGTATCGAACGATATTAGGAAGCAGTAGCCTGTTGGCTCTGCAGAAAGAGTCAAGATAGCTCACAGGTCTCTCCAAGGTATAAAAAATGAGACGAGTGACAACGCAAAATAAAACTACGAAACTGTTTGATGCGCTTAAAATGTTATTTGCTTAGTACTAAATTAACATGATTTTTGGTGTTCGATCTGGGTTTGCCTTAAAGCAACGCTGCTTCATGGGTTGTTAAGTAATTTTCGTCTTCCATTATGCAGTCATAAAACTGAATTCTGAGCTACTCTAGTACGCCAGTCTCACCCATGAGAGATTCCGAATTGTATTTTACAGAGCTAAAGGTCTAAATTTTCCATTTGTATGGCGTAACTTTAAGATTATGGACTCATTATCGTGTGGGAACAGAACTGTAATTTAAGCTAATCGCATCATCGGTAAACTCACGTCTGCCATTTTTGAATCCTTAAGTTCTTGTCTCCTGGGAAATGTGTTCTTCACTATGGCTGTTAACATCTAGCACCACCAATAAATTTGTGCCATATCCGATGTTCTCACTGAAAAGAACAGGATTGCCTATTCAAGTTATCGTCCAACACTGGCATGCATTTTGCGTATTTGTTATTGCGCACTGAAATACTTTTAATTTTCCAGTTAACGTCTTGAAAGCACCCACGGGAAAGGCGTGTAATTCTTCCGGTCGCTCGTGATGACTAAATTGTTTGCCACAACGGATATTTAGGCCAGTTGCATTTCTGATCAAGTTGCGCCATCTATCGTATAAAAATTGCCTCAAATCAGCCTTTTATCCCTTGTTTCAGTAGTGTAAGCAAGCGTCTTATTATTTTTTCCTCACATCAGGTAGTTTCGTGAGTTTCTATTCCATATTGTTGCATATCCACTTTCTCACTGTGGAATCCTTTTTGTTTTGGTTTTGAGTCAAACGTACTGTCTAGGAGCCAAGCTTTTCCTCTTGCGTCTTCCCAATGAAACATCTTGTTTTTATTACTTAATGCACTGAAGCTAGTAAAACAAATGCGGACATTGCAAAAACATTTGCACTCGCTTAGTCTTGTCGAAATTGTGATTACCAGAAGTAAGATTGTGTTGAGTATTTTACCATTATTATAGTCCAAGGTTTTTTATAAAGCTCCACTCGCTCTCAAGGACACGACGTTCCCATACACCTAGAATGGCTTGAGAAGGTACGATTTAGATTGAAAAGTCTACCTGAATACTAACCATGGATCTAGGTCGATTTGCTACCACTTGTTGTGTTTTAATATAAATACATCTGGTAATCATTCTAGGTCACGAATATCGTATGTTCAACACCTACGATGTGCACTTCAATGCCTCGTGGGCACTGATACAGCTGTGGCCAAAGATCGAACTGGCGGTACTCTACGATCTCGTTGACATGACGGCTTCAGAGGACTCAACTCGAGTGGCTTTCATTTACAAGGGCCTCAAGGGTCTGCGTAATGCTCGCCTAGGGGTACCTCATGATTGCGGTGACCCTGAAGGAGAGCCCTGGGTTAATGTCAACGCCTATATTATGTACCCCACCGACAACTGGAAGGATCTATCTCCGAAGTTCATTCTCATGGCGTGGCGAGACTGGAAGATAACTGGCAACCGGGCTTTCCTCCGTTATGTTCTACCTGTCGTGCTGGTAAATTTTGTGTTTTGGCGCCTGAGGCAGCGTTTGTTCCTGTCGACTTGGACGAATGTGGGTTATACATCCTGCTACAGTATCGTCATTACCATATTGTATGTAAATTTATGGTAAGGAATCAGGCAAGAGTGTTTTAAGTACGAGCATAAGCCATCAGGGTGGTCTAATTCGAAAATCGAAAGAGGATAGTCTGCAACATTAATATCCCTTGTGGCAACCACTTTTGCTTATCTGTCTGCCTATCTAGTTGTAGGAATTTTACAAGCTTATAGTCCGTTAGCATCTGAAACTGACTTCCCACATTTCTGTTACATCAATGCCGGTGTAAGTCACCATCGTTTGCTTGAATTCATACTGTTCTCTAGAGCGTTCTTCAATCCTGCTTGGAAAAATGGGATAATGATGGAGACGGGATTATCGAAAACTCCGGTTTCCCAGATCAGACCTATGACACCTGGAAATCCCGAGGTCTAAGGTAGATTTTTTTGGTCGTTTATACCATTTAAAGTCGTCATATTTTTAGCCTTATTGGAAGGATATCAAGATGTTAAAGGCCTTTACTTTTTGGCTCATTTCCATGCGTGATTTCTTTTCATTTCTTCCACCGTAAAAATGCTAGCTTACTCTGATAGCAAGCTTGTTCACAAATTTTTTTAATATCCAAGCCAACATGCCGCCATGATAGCACGAGCATCATCAATAGACTCGGTCCCACAATTGCTTTTGGTTCAATTAAAGCCATGGTGAAAAAACCCAAGTTAAGTAAAAGTTGCTATTCAGCGAAGGCGGTCTCTTGTGTGGGAACACATGCGCAACGTATTTTACACTTCTTTGTTCAATAACAGTATGTAGAACACTTTCATGTTTTCATCCAAACGATTTATCCAAAGCCAGTAAATAGGCGAATTTACTTTTCTCGCCACTCTTACGACCATCTTCGATACTGTTGCTAGCGGCCCTCTTTTGTTGCACATAGACGTCCACTTTTAGCAATGTACCGTACCTACAACTGCGTCTCTAGAAAGATCTTGCTCCACCAATTTCGGTAACGACTTCGAAAACCGTCTTGGCGAATTGAGTCATTGTCCAAATCTG